TTAATTAAAGAAACACGAGTGACGGTTACGCGAACCCCTGTTGGCATTAGCGACAGACTCGCCGTTTGCCCGTCACAATATGTAAGGTAAGTGGAACGGCTACCCTATCATTTATTTTGGTAATCGATCTCTGCTGTGAATCAGTAGATCAGGTAAAAGTTTATACTGGTATCCAAATTACGCCTTACTGCATGAATTATTATATTAGTGTCACATACCGTGAACTTCAGGTAGTGCTTATGGTACTGTACATTCCTTTTTTTTGATGGTTGGAGAGACCGCCAACGAGATAGGCTTACAGTTTCTTTATTGTGGGGAGTGTTACAACTTGTCCAATGGTTCTTTGATAATGGAATCTCTTTTCTTCAACACTAACTATCCGTTCACCTGATCCATGTCGTAGTTTTTTCTCTAATCCTTAGTTTCTCTTTAAGACAAGTATATATTTATCGATGAATGTAAATTCAAGTTTCTTATTATAATGTTTACATTCTGTTGAATTTGTTGTAATCTAATTTCATTTTTTATTTACGGTATATTATCTGCGACGCGTCCCAATTACTGTATCCATCGTCGCGTCATGCAAATCCCACCAAACTTTCAGACTTTGGGCATCAAGCGTCGTGCCTTTAGCCTATTCATTAATTCCCTATAACACTACGCATTCTGCCCTCTCGCTAGTGATATGGTTATCTTTTTTTTTTCGCTTGAAGGGTTTCACTGACTTGATAAATTGAATGATGAAATTCAAAACAAGTAATTCTTATCCTGCATTTGCTCGCTTCAACGAATACGGAGACTCAATGAAGAAACTTTAATGTGATGCATTATTATTCAAGAAACATGAAAAAATTATCCGTTGCTTTAGTCTGTGAGTCATAAAAAATACGCGAGTAGTCTTTAATACATACATAAATAAAATCAAAACGTTAATTTTAAAGATCTATCAACATTGATTTCCATAGAATTACGAATAAACCATAGCAGTAACCTGATAAAATTTAGAAATGTTTGATTTAATAAATCTTAAAAAGGATTATCCTATACTGTATATACGTTACATAAGAAAGATTTAAACGAAACCAAATTTAAAACTGTGATTGTCAGTAGTCTGTAAGACAGAGGGATTGGATTGTACTAGTGCCATTGAAGAATAATGATTATTGTAGTGCACAGAATTAACATCTAGGAAATTTGGCGTCCCAAAGAAATCTCAATGATATCTCAATGATATCTCAATGAACTTTGAGTTCGTCTTTATTTTCCTCACACAATTGATGCATGTCATGTTTGTTTGCCAATAAAATATAGTAATTTGACTTTTTGATATGTAAAAAGATAACATTTACGATGACTAAAAATGGTTATTTCTTAATGGGTGCCGGATTTTACAAAATGATTAGTTAATTAGGTCATATATTGTTGAACTATATTTTTTTTTATTGGTCGTAGAATTACGTGCACAAGGTTTTTTATGTACCGTTCATGTAACGAATAAACATGGAAAACTGATGAGTGAATAACGCTTTGTTATGGCGAAGCTCTTTCCGCCATTGACATAGTAACTTTGTGGTAGAATCTAAATTTTGATTGAAAATTCGACTTGTTAACATATGATTCTAGGGCTAATGAAATTTTTAAAATTTGCCGGTTTATTGTTCCTGATGAGTTTAGTGCGGAATGCCTCGATTGCAACGATCACACACAAGGGAAATTTCCAAGGTTCTAGAAAGAAGATATACTGTATTATTAAAATTAATCGTGGATGTTATTATATTTGTAAACAATGCGATGATAAAAAATTGTATACGTACGAAAATAACGATGTTCATAAATTTTAAATTTTCATCTCATAAGCTCCCTCGTAAATTCTTTGATTTCGAGTTCACGAATTCCTGTTCATAAATATCTATTTGTTTAAACTGATGATGCGGTCAAAGGGTCGGCTTTGCGGACGAAGAGATCAGAGTCTCGGCTGTCCAAACCGAGCGTAAATTTAATGGCGGTGTCATCGGATTATACAGTATATTGGGCGAAATACGAACTTTTTTTTTTTTCTTTCAATAATCAACGTTGAGTTTTTTTAACAATCAATTAAAAAATTAGAATTATTTGCAGTATTGTGGTGCGGATTTACGTGCCCTGCGCTCGGTAGATGTTTTATTCCCGAGTGCAAAATTGAAATTGGCATTGTTACATATCTACAACCCAGAATTACTTATTATGGGAATTACCAGAGCAGAGGATACGTTAAAAACTTCATAGGAGTTATTCTCAACGGTGTGTATGAATACATTGATCGTGTCACTAACACTTTTGCGATATATGGATTACCCCTCGACATCTAAATACAGTATATAAAAACTTAGAATGTATACAAGCAATGTTTTTAATGGTCTAATTAAAATTAACAAAAGAAGATCAAGTAAATGTCTTCAATATTTTCTCGGTGATACTTTAAATTGCGACTGAAACCTGTCTTAGTACACAAACTCGACGTCATCAGACAAAGGAAGAGTTGTGATTGTTGCTGCAACCAATGATGGTGCATCTGAATTTTTCCTCGGGGGGTCAAATTCCGGGATAAAACGTGATAATGCTGTAGTTGGTTTCATCGAAAATAAAAAAATATTTTTTTATCACAAGTACCAACATGAGTTATAAAAATATTTAGAATATTCGACTTTTAAGTTCATTTGATTCGTTTTTGCTTAACTCACTTTCCAATATTTACAGTATAACTATAATAATCACGAATACTCTCACATGGATTTCGGGCAAGTGCCCTGCCGATAGATATTGCACCAGTAGATGGTTCTTGTATTTTCCTCACCGGGGCTAACTGTGTGATATTTTATAATAATGATTAAACACGACATTTTCTCGTAAGCACTCTATGAAACACCATTCCAAGGCTAAATATAGATGACGTAATTCTTTTCTTAATAAATCTTTTGTCCCTCCTTTATACAGTACGTGTATCTAATTATTACAGCCGACTTACCATTGTCACGTCGATCGGTCACGTGACTGTCGTTGCGTATCAGATTGCGGGGAGATCGTCGAACAATTCTGCATATATTCCAACCTGAGATAGAACCAAAATGCGATTCATTGTCCCCGGGTGGTCGTATCTTAATTACATCTTCTGTTACTTTGAGTTTTAATGCAACTTTATCTCGTAATTAAATGGTCACATTTTTTTTAAAAAAATTCCGTCTCGTTTTTAATTAATAGATAAATGATATTTGATGACAATAGGCACATTAAAAATTACTGTCCAGTATTTCGATACTTACAGGCTAAAGGAAAACTAATTCTAGGGAACTTGACGATATTTAACAATCCATTGCAAAGCCGAAAAACCTCAAAGGAAAAAAACCTTGACACCGCTTCACTCAACGGGAAAACAAGGAGAACTGTTAACATTTTTGACACCATCACATCAAAATTTTAATCTCTTCCAGAAAATTAATTCAATGTTTCATGCATGCCACAATACCCTAACTTTTACGGTTGCCAATGCTGGGATATTAGTTTTTCAGATGTTATTTCAATTTAGCAAATATTTTCCATAGTAAGGGGTTTCATTGATATTGGTTACCTTGCGACTAAGCCAATAGGAAAAGGTATGATGATCATAATCCACCTGGTCAATTGAGCAAAGTTATTTTGGTTTTTTCCGGTTTTATAAAGTCAAGGAGACTTCATCAAATAATATTCTATAATAATGTATTGTGGATTGAAAGGAAACTGTCATACTGTAATATGCTGGTCTTGTGTCAACAATCAGATCAACTTTTCGTGACTAAATTCAATGGTTTATACTTATTCCAAAAATACCACGCCCGATTAAGATCCTCTTTCATTATTTTATTCAAATACAAATAAACAAAAGATCGGAATTGCGTATTGTTACATGCAAATTAGGTGACGTGTACACGTTACGTCATCAAGCTGTCGTGAATAGTGAGAAAAAATTTCTAGAATAAATAGAAGAATGAAGAATGCAACCATTTATAAACAATAGGCACATGCATGAATATTTCCGTAATCTAATAGCATTTAGGGTGGTTCAAAACCATTGGTAAAAAAAAAAAAAGAAAAAAAAGTTTAAGGGTAACTCTTACCTTGTTTTTTGTGTGCCAAAAGTACTTGTAATTTACGCTGTGCGAATAAGATAAAGAATCGAAGTTTTTCCCAAGAGAATTGGCATTGCAAGGGTTCTAGGTTAGTCGATAGAGAAGTTAAAGTCAAGATCAACCAAATCGAAGACACACCTAAGAGTTCAAAGAAGCAAACAGAACTTACCTGACGTTACGCGGAGAAATATCTTTGGTTAGCAACAGATTTTCCGGAGTCTACAACGGTATCAAGCAAGAAAGAAATGGTATGATTGATCCCTTTATCTAACACATTTTTGATCAAATATTTATGAAAGAATTGACGCAATAAATGTTTATTCCTATTGACTTGGTCTAAAAAATATTAAAGTCTTGTGGGACCTTCGAATAATAAGGATTTATTAGATTGAGTTAATAAAATTCGATAATATTTTAATGAAAAGAACTCATAATTTCAATTTTCGATTTTCGATTAATCTTAGGATACTGTAACAGAACCGCTGTTAGGTACAGTACCGAGTTTACAAGTACTATGTGTATCAATTTGAGTCAATGATTTTATTGAGCGGGGTACGCGAATAGTTTTATCATTTGAGTACTAATGTATACGGAAATGGTTTTAAATCTTTATGATTGATATAGTATCATAAATTTTGAACATAAATTATGTCTGGTTTATTATGATTATTTAATTTCCAAAACAACTTTGTAAATTATTTGTCTACTGCCACCAACAGAGAGCAGAATTCGCGTAACCGTCACTTTATAACTCAAAAGAGGCAGATTGACTCGACCGAATTCCATTTCTTTATTTGGTACTTTCATTATGCATGTTTTTGACAAAATTTAGGTGGAAGATTTGGGATGGAAAAGAAAAAGATGGGATTAATAGAACTTCGAAAGTAAGTGACTCTTAATTACATAACATTTTACATTCTTTCTTATGGTCATAATTAGGAAAACACTGTCATTATTTAATATTATATAATGAAAAACATGTTGATTATTCATGATACTCCAATTAATATTATAATACTTTTTAAGTAATAATAAATGTAAGGGACCATAAAGTAATTATATGATTTGATTATAAATAAAAACTTAAAATTAATATTACTGAATTTATAATAGCTTATAAAAGTTTATTTTAAATAATATATTTAAACTTTTGTTGAAGTTCATATAATTAAATTACATAATTATCTCATGTTAGTTTCTCACAAACATGAGACAATATG